CGATGGGATGGGGGAGAGAATCGGAGGAGTGAGAGTGAGAAACACTCCTGGGCTGAGATAAGAACAGTTTAATAATTGAAATAAAGTAAAATAGTAATGATAATAGCAATATAATAATGATAATAACAATAATAATATCCAAAGCAAGTGATGCCCAATGCAATTGCTCACCACCCTCTGACTGATACCCAGCCAGTTCCCAGCAGCGATTGCTGCTCCCCGGCCAACCCCCCCAGTTTCCATACTGCCCATGACGCCGTATGGTATGGAATAGCCCTTGGGCAGTTGGGATCAACTCTCCTGGCTGTGCCCCCTCCCAGCTCCTTGTGCGCCTGGCAGAGCATGGGAAGCTGAAAAGTCCTTGCCTGGCATAAGCAGCACTGAGCAACAACTAAACCATCAGCGTGTGATCAGCATTCTTCTCATCCTAAATCCAAACCACAGCACTGTGCCTGCTACTGGGAAGAAAATTAACTCTATCCCAGCCCAAACCAGGACAGTGGCACAATGGGATTTCTTAATTTTTTTTTTTTCAAGGCCCACATCCAAACCCAGAAGAATTAAATTTGTGCTATTTTAAAGAGTAGCCTCATTCTAATTTAGTGTAAAAGTTAGCTTTAGTGACTGGAAGCCCTTGGTCTGTTTTGCTGTGCTATGAGGAAAAGACAGCCAGCCAGCGAGCGGCTGCAAGGCGCGGGCAGGACGGGAACCCTCTCTGCGTGTCTGCATGCATGCAGCCTTACGCCACCCTTACAAATGCAGCCTGCAAACCCCCATTTGGAACGATACGATACTGCCCGGTAACCGTAATTTGAGCTTCACTGAATCTGAAAATTCCCAAATTATTAAGCAGTAATTAGAAAGCATATTACCTATCATGTTGTTCGCTCAGCCAAGCCCACCATGTAGCGTGAGCTGTTGTATGAACCACACACATGAGCGCTGGAGTTGTTTTGCATACTCCTGGTGGGACATTAGCATTTCAGACTTCCACTACCTAGTTTGAACCTGCACAGAAGCCAATAATATAGAGGTTAAGTGGATGTCAGTTTAAAAAAAAGTTTTTTCTTCATATTGTTTGCTTTATAGTAACTGCCTGTACTAGCATGGACTTTTCTTATTACTCTATACTTAAATACAGTAGGAACAGACAAAAAAGCTTTGCTTGTTTTGGAATAGTTTGTTATCTTGCACTGTAGATTTAGGTATGAGCTTATGTAAAATGTTTTTGAAGTTGAAGTCAGACACAGCAGTCTTCAGTTCCACTCTAAATATTTGGACACTGTAGACCAGCTGTATGCTATTAAAAAGCTATGACAGTCTGCTTTGGGGGACAGTCAGATAATTCTTGAAGCTATGTTAATGAGCTACATAGTGGTTTAGAAACCTTCCAGACTGAAAAATACAATGGCTAAGAGGAAAAAAAGAATAGGGGGTTTTGTGCATCTTCCTCAATAAGTAAATAATACATGCAACATTATCGTTAAGCTATTGAAGTGGCAATTCAACGACAGAAAGTTTTAGTCCAGATGTATTAAGGACAGAAGGTGTTTAAACTGCATTTAAGCCCATCCTGTTATATCCAAAATCTTACCATAACAACATATAACTAACCAGTAACAGCTTGGTGAAAAACTGTTTTCACTGCAACATATTTTCCCTTTAAAATATAAACACAAAAATCATAATTCTGTCCTTTAATGGAGAGATCCAAAGCCATCTATTTTTCATTTAAATCATTATAAAACTGTACATGCATTTTTCAATAACTTTAGAATTTTTGTGTTTCTACACTGCTCATTTCTAACCTCATGCGAGAGCGAGTACGTGCATAACCGTGACTGTTTTAGGGCTGTGATGAATGGTCTACATAAAGAGCTACATAAAGTAAGATGCATTTACTGAAATTAGCACAGGACAGGGTTGCACCGAACACAACTGTAGCTCAGCAGTTAACCACCACACCAGTGCTCTCTTCTGCTCACTTCACTTGATGTACACAGAAACCAGGTTGAAATTCTTGGCCTGTATCTGAAGGTGCTCAATCGCCAGGACTCTCAGCATCGATACTTTGCATGAGCCTGCACAGCTGTTCCTGAAGAGCTGCCCACCATGAGGACAAGGAAAGCCTTACCGCAGGCGTCGGGGCCACGGGGGCAGAGGATGGAGCTTCCGTGGGAGTCAGTCAGAAAGCGAAGACCAGCCTTTTGCAAAAGCCACGGCCGTCACGTCCCACCTGCCTCCACCACCATTGCAAGGCACATTTCTTCAGCTTGTCTGTGGGCAATAAAAACACAGGACTAGTTACATTTGCTTACTTACTCAGTTGTGTTATCTACTAGAAGAGAACCTCCTGCCACTCACACACACCTCACCCACCAAGAGGGAGCACCAGCCAAGCACCGCTCATGGCAATCACCCTGCCCTGCATGGGAGGCTTTGGCCATGGTACGGGACCCCACCCAGACCGCAATCTTCAAATTTCCCCATGCCATGAGCCTTCCTGAAATTTCTCCCAACACAAAATTTCCATGCTCCCATGATTTGATATCCTATGATCTAATTTCATACTCAGCTCATACAAATCTGCTCCAGTGTTGCCTAGGGCAAGCTTTGGAGCTTTGCATTTCTGTTACATCCACCTCCTTACTCATTGCACACCCCTCAGCAAGTGCCAGGGAGCAGCAGGAGCAGAGTCACCCAACACAGGGGCACACGTGGGAGCAGAGGACCACCCCAACACCAGCCATGCCCTCCGCAACAGGCACCATCCCACGCAGCCTGGGCACAGCCCAGAGACAGACGGGCCATCGGCAGCCCCAGGCACAAGGAGTGGACAAAGTAGGGCCATCAGGCAAGCCCCATGAGGAGCAGGAGCAGGAGCAGGAGCAGGAGCAGGAGCAGGACTACAACACAAGCCTGATGTCCACTCAGGAGAAAGAGCCAGATGAATGCTCCAGCCTGAGCTTAAATAGTGCCCGGGGCTGGGCGCAGGCAGGGCTGGCCAGGTCGTTAACAGCTGCTGCCCCGGTGGGGCTGGATGGGGTCGTTAAGGCCTGCAGGGCCCTCCCTGCTCTCACAACGTGTTTCTCAGACTTGGCTATCCACAGATTTCCTTTGTGGACCAAAAATCTGAACACAGTTATTTATAACCCCCAAAAAATAAAATTCAAGAAAAAAGGAATTTTTTAGCATTTCCAGCACCCTGGTTCCCCCTGTCGCCACCAAGGTGATTTGATTTCTCACTTCTTTGATGCTCGTGTTCCCTCTGTGATCGCCACAATAACTGAGACCGTCTGTCCATGGTAATGGACCACCTTGTCTTTGTGCTGTCCTTCCCTTGCCCAGGGGTGACACCTTTCAGCTGCAGTGTTTTTGCATCTTTTTTCAACCCCACCCAATGGCTCCCATTCTAAATCCATGGATAGTCCAAACTAATCAGAAAGTGAGCAAGATGACGTCTGTATCGGGCCACAAAATCTAAGGTAGAGACACCCGAGGTGGTTGTTATTGACAGTAGAAGCTATTCCCAGTTGAGGAGACCCCTCGTATCTCCCGCACAACTTCCCTGCCGGAGCTCCTGCAGGGCGGCAGGACAGCTGGAAAAGCATCTCGGACAAAAATGCACTGGCGCAAGCTGAGCACGGCGCTGGAGATCCATACCCTCTGCTGCCTTGTCCAAGGAGCGCTCTCATGGATGGGCTGGCTGCCCCAGCACAAGTGCCAGTGCGCTGAGAGAAAGGGGTACTGTGTCCTCTGGGATTTCAGTTTCTCCAACCCAAATGTGCGCCCGGTGTATAAAGAAACCCAGTTTTTCTTGGAACATTTGCTGTATTGTTCAGCCAGAGCTCAGCACGATGGGGCCCCAGGGTTATGCACCTCATGACATTGCAAAAGCTATAAATATGAAAGTGATTATATTGCCAGATACCTGCTGATACAAGAGGAAAACACCAATATTGAGCTTCTGAAATAACAAAACTGCACTTGGGTCAGTGCCGGTAGATCTGCCTGAAGGTACTGTTAATGCCAGAATGATCAAGTGGTCAAAATAATATCAGCAAGGTTGCCAAGTCAAAGATAGCCTCGGAAGCATAAAATTACCAACTAGGAATAAGTAGGCTTTCCCCCCCAAAGTGGGTAGAGATGTTTCAGAGGAAACAACACTCCATTTGCCTCATAAAGTAAATTAAAAAGCATTTCCAAAAAGTAAGTAGAAAGAGAGAATGTTCTGCTAGGAATTAAGTGCCTTTGCTAAATGCACCAATGCATTTGGTGCTGCAAATATTAAAAAGTTTTCCTATGATACATTTTCAGTTCATAATATTGGGGAGAGGCAAGATCTAATAATGTGAGGGCTGCTCTGAGTGCCGAGAGTGCCTTTACGTGATCTACCAAAAGGCTTTGGAAGAAATAGCACCATACAATCAGGGATTACAGAGTTCGGCATGCAAAAGCATTTCTCTCTAATTCTGCATCTATATGTAAATTTGGGATAGGATCCCATACCTCATGGAGGTGTCATGAGGATTAATTAGCTAGGTCTAATGCTCCACAAGGCAAAATGCCAGATCCTTAGAGGCCGAAATATCTTTTTAAAATCTGAATTTTAAGGGCCTGCTTACACCAAGTTTGTTGCAGGATCAGGGCCGTAATCTGCAGTGTACTTTCAAGCTTAAAAGTGCGCAAAGTTGTTAAGCATTATTATTTATTTTTGGCCAGTCAGATCCTCCCTGGTTTAATCTTTTTAAGTCTCCCCAGAAGTTATTGATTTAAACATGCTTTTATTTTCTTTTTGCTGGTTTTGGAGAATGTGTCTTGTTCAGCCTGCAGCTCCGAGTTCAAAGTGCTTGTCTAGCCATCCAGATGCCTCTCACTTGGGAGCTCTGTGAAAGAGCATCAAATCTTCCACTGAGATTTTAGCACTTTTTCTTTCCCAACTTAAATCACTTTAACTTAAAATGCTGTCACTGCAGTGATGAAAGGCTACTGATGGTAGAATGTTCTTGTCTACAGCCATCCCGGTCTTCATCACAACAATAACTCTGCAGACTTTGACCAAGATGCTCTCAAACCAGCTAATGGATGTGGAGAGTTTGATAGCATCAATTACCATGCGACAGCTTCCGTGCCTTGCCAATCCTCCACCGCACCGACTGTTTGCCCTTAGTAGGACAATGCCTAACGAGTAGTATCTCCCAATTAATGGTTTCGTAATCTGCCTCTGTCACGGTAAACAAGTAATTCCTGGTTAGAAACCACATGCAAAATGTAAGCATTAGGGCAATTGCTGCTATTAGCTATTGCTGTCTAATTAGTCATCTGCAATGTACAGCTCAGTACCAGCGAACTACTTGTAATGATCTCTTGGAGAGGAAAACAGAAATACTCTATTATTTCCAAAAGTGTGACTTGAATGCAGTAATTTACTGCACCACCTCACTCCAAACATGAGTCAGGCTGTATTTATTCCTTGTCTCGTGCATCTGAGCTAACTAACTGCCTTGAGGCAGCGGTATAAAAATCGGTTGCTGTGACTTGCTGCTTGAAAATTTATTTTGCTGCTTCTTAAAATCTTGGCCTGCTTGACCTCAGCAGCCTTCACCAGTTTGGAAATGCAAGTTACAGTCCTCTGCAGGGATTTAGCCAGGTGTCTATTACAGCACGTAATCTGTGATACAGCTTCCAATATTCACGCTGCAGAAAGGTTAAGCCCCCTTGTCTTTGTTCCTGAGTAAAAAAGTCCATGAGATGTTGGTGTGGACAGGAAGCAGACTGAAAGAAGCAACATCTTCAATCAAGCCCTATGCCTGTGTGGATGGCACTGGTGAGCGACGGGCGGCTTTGCCTGAGCGGCAGCGCTCGCACTTTAACCCTTGAACAGCCCCTGCTGAGGCTCAGGGGTCGCGCTGCTGCTGGGCTCCGTTGCTAACCAAACCCCTCGCCCTAGCGTCGCCGTCCCGTCCCTCACCAAGGCGCTCCTGACGATGCGCTTGGTGAGACGCGCTCCTGCCCGGCGGTAGCAAGGCCATGAATTCCACGAGCAGCTTAAAACAAAATAAATAGCAACTTAATTTGCCTGCCTGCAAGGAGCTATTTAATATCAATCTCCAATTACTATGCAGGAAAATACTGGGTTTCTTTTAGGCGGTCGTGGCGTTGGGAAAGCCTCAGCTACCTTTTACGCTAATTGGCAGTGAAGTGTTTAGAAGTATTTATTAGTGTTTGATTATTTAGAAATCTTCTAATGGCTTAAATATCATTTGGAAAAGCTGTAAATATTTTCTACCTTGTCCAGCTGAAGAGCTGCTCCTTGGAAGGCTTACATGGAGATCTATTTACGGCTGCCTGCTGGTCGCAAAATTACTTACAGCTGCTAATGCCCCGGTCCTTTAGATGTCCCCAACACAGGATGGGCTTAGTTTTTACAAATTGGGGAAATTTTCTCTTGCCCTATTCATTTTACTGAGATAGAGGTCTTATGGAGGATTATCACAGAGATCAAGACATTAAAATATGTCGCTAATCCCAGTTAAATTAATTGTTTTCATACTACCATGTACCAAGGGACGCTCATGTAGAGTAAGACCCCTTTACCCTGTTTTGGTAATGCAAGTATGACTTGACATGCAAATTACATTTAAGATGAATTAGAAGCAGTTTAAAGCCAAGTTGCTGGTAGAGAAAATGGGAATCTGACTTCAAGCCTCTGAAGCAATAATCACGTTAAATATTTCAAAATTACATCAGTGACTGCCATGTCAGTAGGCAGAGGGGAAGTTAACCTAAACTCATCATTTCTCTCCCCCTCCCTGTGTTAGAATTCAGGACATGTACTTTATTGGCTTATATCAGCTTAGATTTTTTTTCTCCTAATTTCCTCTCTAGAATACTGAATTCCACACAGGTTATTTTGGTGTCATCAAATCATTCGCCTCTTAAAAGAGAATTGCGTGCTACAAAATTAAAAGAATAATTCAATTTATTGGGGAGGGTATGCCTGAAGCTTTTCATTAGGATTCTCATTTGCAGTGATGTCCTTACCCCCGGGTTTCAGTGGTGGGTTGTGCCGCTGATGTGACCGCTGGTAGGAGTTTCAGGTGCAGGACAGCACTGTGATTCCGACCCATTTCCCACTATACTCTGCCGTTACGTGGAAGAGCCTCGTCTTTCCCAAAAAGCTTTGTGCCCACAGAGATGTTGACTACCGTTCCGTAGCAAGCTAGGGCTGGTTTTTAGCATCACTGCACCATTCTTTGAGGTACCTTATTGCTACCAGCTCTCAGGATCTCTCTGTGTTCACACTAGCTTGTGTTTTGTTCGGGCCCCGGCTCCCAGCGTTCCCTGATTCTATTGGCACCTCAGCTTTTGCTAAAAAGGAAAAGGTGAAAGAAAAAAGGAGCAAAAGAAATCAGCTCTTACATACAGAAAGAAACAATACGTCCCACGCAATCTGGGTTACTCGCTGGAAGTCGTAAAACGCCTCCTCCAGCACCCAGGGACCGGCGCATCAGAGCGGCTTTAGTTTTTAACATGAAGAATCGCAGCAGACTCAGCGGCTGCTTGCGGAGCAGGAAGCCAAAGCCATCCCTCAGCAGGGCTTAACGCACCTGCCCGCCTACCCAGGAGCATTTATTTGCTGGGTTCCGATACCCGCGACCTCCCGGGGAAGCTGCTGTTACCAAAGCGGTGACAGAAGCGTATACATTATGGGTACGCAGGCAGCTTCCTGGTGACAGGCACAGAAGTGACCAGATTTTTCTAGTAAACCTTGGAAAGGTGTGATTTATGCAACTCAGCATGTTCTGCAAAATTGATATTTACGTGTAGTCAAAGGGTCTGGAACCTTACAGATTTCACAATATGTATATTTTCCCTTAAAGGAGAAGAAAAGGCCTAATAAGTTAGCAAATCCTGGCGTTTGTGTCTGATGTATTAAACGGAGCTTAAATAATAAAAAATTCAATGTTTTCTCTATTCTGCTTGAAACTTATTTTTTGATTTTCACTGTTTTATTCAAAAGGAAGGCATAGAAATAGCAACCGTGAGCTTGAAATCAGAGCTGTAACAGGGACTTATTATAGACACGTTTTACAGCGTATTTTCAGTTACAGCTGCATGCTTTGAAGCTGTCAGTGTAACAAGCAGTGTGCTGCTTTTCAAATAACCCTTTTTGTTGGCTTGTAGCTTTTTTCCTAACTTCGAGTCCCAGTGAATCACTGTCAGTTTTAGCATTCAGCTGTATTAACGGGAAGGAGCGAGGGAGAGAAAGGAAATGGTATTTCCCTGCCCAGGTGAGGGGAAGTTGCCAGCGGGGAGGTCGAGGTGAGTGCAGAAGTCCTTTTGCGTGTGTTTCACGGGAGTACGTCAAGGAGCGGAGCAGTGGCCAGGGTGGAAACTCATGGCTGAAACCCGTTGCCCGCACTGGATGGCATTGAACCGCTTCATCGCCCTCAGGCTTTGAGATGGAGAGAAGCATAACTGCAATTATAAGAAAAGAAAAGCTTGATTATCATACCGGGGCGTGTTCTGTTTTCGGGCTAGGTGAGGGGAGCTCTGATTAATGACAATAACAGCGACACTGACACCCCGCCGAGCACTGCTAGGTATAGGCATGTGCGTCTTTTTCCCCAGCAGTGCTGACCGTCGGTGGAAAGAGGCACGGCTTCCTCCACAATCCCTGTGTGAGGTGGAGGGAAGGGTACAGAGCAGCGGTTGCTCCCTGGAACAAACGCAGGAGGAACGAGTAGCAAAATATTAATGTACTGTTGAAAGCCGAAATTCGATAGACATGATTCAGTGCAGCCTACGGGGTCTGATATCTTGGCAACTGCTGCAAGATGCCCCCACTCTGCAGACAAAACAGCCTTTGTGAAGAAGCAGAGGATTGTAGCGTGCGAGTTAATGCATCAAAAGGCCAGGAGGAGAATAATTCACTTTCACCTTGCTACAGAGGACAAGCAGCAGTAAAAGCTGTGCACTATTGGCAAGCTTTTTTTGTTGCTGTTTTTAACTCAACCCCCAGTTCAGAGCTCCAGCCACCTCGGCAGCGTTCCAGCTGGAGCTGCTGACATCTCCCACCTAATCAAGCGCTGGATTATCTTGTCCTGATAAATTGGAGCCGGAGCCTTGCGAAAAGTCTTTCCTGAAGTACTTCGCTACCCTGTAATAAGATGGCAGGCGTCTGAATCAAGCCCCAGCGCTGGCAGAGCACTGTTTTTCTAATGGCTTTTGGTGGCGAGTGTAAATGTTTTAAGGCAAGCCGGTGCTGAGCTGGGGGCACGGTTAAGCATGATAAATTTCACGCCCGGGTGAAAGGAAACTTGAAGGGTGTACTGGGTACTGGTTCATACCGAGCATATATGGGCTGCACTGCTGAACTCAGAACGCTTGCCCTAAAAATTACTTCTTTTGTGAACGGAGCTCTTGAGGAATGTACTTGTTTTAAAAAAAAATCCTCTTTGGCTGCTGCCTCTTTCTAGGAAGAGCCAGAGTTACTGAGCTGTTAGAGGCTTGCTTACTGGTCTTCATCTTTTGTGACTTGATTGCTGGTCCAAGTCGGTCAGGGTAAATAAACTCTTTTCTTTCTCTAAAACATACTAAGAAAAATGTTTATGTTACAGAAGCAAGCGTGCTGTATATATGTGTGTGTGTACATTTACTTCAACAGGTAAGATAGCCAGGGTGAATCTCGTTAAGATAAAGGTACTCCTTGCAAGTATTTGTGTTTTCTTTCTTGGTTTCACTCCTGGAGAAAAAGCAGCAGTTCTCATGTGCCAGACAAGAAACATCTTTATGTGCCACAGTCACCTATACCATGCCTCTTGTAACACTGCTCTGCTCTTTTCCAGGGGAATCCCTACATGTGCAATAACGAATGTGATGCGAGTACCCAAGAACTGGCTCATCCTCCGGAACTGATGTTCGATCTCGAAGGAAGACATCCCTCCACATTTTGGCAGTCCACAACTTGGAAGGATTATCCAAAGCCTCTTCATGTTAATATTACGCTCTCCTGGAACAAAACCATTGAGCTGACAGATAACATAGTTATCACTTTTGAATCCGGCCGTCCAGACCAAATGATCCTGGAGAAATCGCTCGACTATGGACGAACATGGCAGCCCTACCAGTACTATGCCACAGACTGCTTAGATGCTTTCCACATGGATCCAAAATCAGTGAGGGATTTATCGCAGCACACAGTCCTAGAAATCATTTGCACAGAGGAATACTCTACTGGGTACATGACAAATAGTAAAATAATCCACTTCGAAATCAAAGATAGATTTGCTTTTTTTGCTGGACCTCGGCTTCATAACATGGCTTCTCTTTATGGCCAGCTTGACACAACCAAGAAGTTAAGAGATTTCTTTACCGTCACAGATCTGAGGATAAGATTGCTTAGGCCAGCAACTGGAGAAATATATGTAGATGAGCAACACCTGGCACGCTACTTTTATGCAATTTCGGACATAAGGGTATATGGAAGGTAAGAGAATATATACCTTTAGAAACAAGCATGTATGTCTGGTTTTATCGGTTATTCAAAACCTTTTCTGTCCCCAAACATGACAGCGTTTTCTGCTGAGACATGTTCATTGGAAATCTGGCTCAGCTGAAGTCTGTTTCTGGTCATACTAGAAGTTTCTGACTCCGTGGCACAAAGTCTGGGGAGTTTGCTGTCACTAGCCCAGGATGTTAAGCCCTAGGTCTCACAAGCAGGATGATAGAATCATAGAATCATAGAATCGCTAAGGTGGGAAAAGACCTTTAAGATCATCCAGTCCAACCTACACTACCAATATTAACAGTGTCCTATGTTGGCTTAGGAATTCACCTCAGTATTAGGACATTTTCTGCTTTTTTACGGTTGGAGCCTCGTCTGATGGCAGTTAACTAAAAAGAGAGATTCTGTTTTATCATTTTACTTTTTCGGGCCTTTAATGTAAGCTGTGATTGATACAGCAGCCCTTGCGTGGACCGTTCCCACTAGGTCCAGCTGTGAACCGCCTGTGAACAAGGCAGGCGGCAGAGATTAGAGTCCATTCCTTGTACTTTAATTAGCTCTGAAATGCAGTGAAGCTGAAGTAAAATGGAAAAAACCACCAGTGTTTTGGAGAGACTGATTTGAATATAACAAAGATGGTTACTCAGCTGGGTTCAAGACAAATAGTCCCCAGGGGCAAGCAGTGGCTGGTATCAGGTGTCGTCGTCCCAGAAATAATAAACGTGCAATGACATTCCTATCGGGAAATTTTCTTCCCAGCTCAAACTAGCAATTGACTGATGACCTCAAGCAGGAGGGTTGTACCCTTTACATGTGTCTTGGATGCCAATTTGTTCAGAAGAAATAAATGGGACCTTCTCTACTAGCAATTCACTCACCTCTCTAACGTACCTTTTCCTTCTCCTCTGTTTCTTCTATAGAGAGTTCAAATCTTCCTCTTAAAAACCTTTTTTTTTTTTTTAAGAGAAGCTAAGTATCAAAACGAACAGAAAAGCTAATACATCTTGGAAGGCCAGGGCATTTTTTGCAGACACAAGACTGAGTGAAAAAAAATAGAGACAGTGATGATATAAAACACTGATGACTATTTTTGTTAGTCCCATAGTGAGTTTGCCATTTTCTACCTCTTTTATACAAGCTTTTCATGTTCATAAGCATTTCCCTATTGCAAAAATCAATACATAAAATCAAAATAGAATCAAATTAATGTGATGTAATCTGTTGAAAAATATTCCTCTAACTTTATATAAAGGAAGAATTGATGCCACGTACAGATTTGAATGCATAAGCGCTTTTGCAGTGCTGATACATTTTTATATGACATCAAAACACATTTCTTAGCACTGTAGATTTAGGACGTAGTTGCAGTCTTCTGCGTCCACACCAAATACATACACGTACCTACAGAATCACTAATTGAATGTGTGAAAGTATAAGGTAAATGTTGCTGTTTCAAGAATTCTTATTGTAACTCTCATTAGTTACATTATAAATTATTTTTCAGAAGTCTCTTGAGAGGGCTAAGTGGATCATGGACAGCTTAAGATGCTGTTTGAAATAGTTGAGTAACATTAGCCTCAGTATATAAAAAATAACGTGCTATTTAATGTGTAACCCTTTCTCCATTGGCCCCCACATAGGTTAGCTCTACAGAGGGATCATATCAAAGCTCAGGATTTGAAGGTCCTTACGCCTTAAGGAAAAGCTGTCCCCATCTCAAAACCCATTTGGAGCTTAGGCTGACTTCACTTGGACCATCAGTACTTTATCAAAGAAAGCATCTGAAGGATTAAAAAAGAGTGCATGGCATGCAAATTAGAAACAGAAATCTTCCAAGCACATCTGGGGCATGGCATTCATGTGAAAAATTATCTATAAAGACGAAGCGTGACTGTACAGAGAACTTATCTGTTGCTGATGCTTGTTGTCTAAATGCTGCAGTAATTGGACGCATGCTTTAGAAGAAATATCTGATGTGTAATAGTATCTCACTAGATTAGACTCATGTGAATTCTTATCACTCTTCTGCTAATGAGCAGAACAGCTCTCTAGGGGTTTGGTGGCCTTTCCGTCAATATGTGGTGAGCCCTCCTTGTGAAAGAATTTATGGGCTTGCTTACCGCTCGGTAGCGACGGGGCTGCACTACGCAGCCTCCCATTATTGAGCTGCACCACAGGTAACTTGCCATAGGCCCACTGTCACCGGTTTTAGGTATTTTTGGTCTCCTACCAGGAACCTTGCAAGGCCCCCCCGAAGAGTCTCCAGCTCAGCATCACGGCCACGTGCCCTGGCACAGCCTGAGCATGGGGACACCACGGCAGGCAGCAAGGGTCACCAGGGGTTTCGTGCCGCTCCGTCTGATTCAGCTGAGCTTTCCGACCCTTGTAGTTCATTTAGGATGTTAACTAGAAATTAAGTTACAATTTTTTTTTTTTTTTTCCTACAATGGTTCATATTATGGGCTTCGAGACCTAGATATTTATGTACATCTAGTAAAGCTAGACTAGGCTATTCCATGAGGATGGGATACAAAGGGACATTTCCAAGGAACTTGACGTGTGGTGGATGAGTGATGCTAGCAGACACATTTTAAAGCTAGTCCTTTTACTGAAAAAAGCAACCTGTAGGTTAAATATAGTTAAAATCACCGAAGGTCATAATAGCGTGTTTCTAAAGGCAGCATAAAACGTAATTTGTTTCACACTGCATTTTAAGGATCAATGACAGTGAAAAGCGTCTATCTTAAAGCTGCCATATTTAATTTACAAGATGCTGGAGTGGTTAATACTTCGCAACGAATTATAGATAGGAGATTTGCCCACTTAATATAGGGTCTGTTTTGTCATTGCTTTGTATTTTGGTGCGAAATAAGCCTGATGTATGTTGCATTAGAGATGAAAGCCTGTGTACTCTCGATGAACGCCTTACCTCCTCTATTACCACCTGTTTATTCATCTTCAATTTACCACTTCCATTGTGTATTTATTAAGATGATGAAAAAAAGGAAACATGGCTGTTAGCAATTTCAGCAACCCCATTGTGCTCACATTATTCAAGAAACCTAATAATCCACATGAACTAATTCTGACTTACTGATGGTCTGCTTCACTAAATCAGGGTGATTTTTTTCTAGTGAATAATGGACGATGTAGTGTGCCAGTACCTTAATTAAAGAGAGCCTCTCTTAGTCTTGATCTCATTTTAATTTACAGGGTAATACTACAATAATATCACTAATGGAAGGTACATTAAAGGGCATCAAGTAGCATTAACTGTATTAAATTATGGCACTTGTGTTAATTAACTGCTGAAGCAAGATGGTCTTAATGGCTAGAAAGGTCGACTAATGCATAAATAAAGTCTTCTGGGATGGGAGACGAAGAACGAGCAGACATTTTTCCCCTCATCTGGCCTTGCTGCAGAGAATCAGAGGGTGTCCTACGTGGTAACCTCGGGAAGGTTTCTCTCACGTTGCTGCCTGCAGAGGTGGCCTGGACTGTCTGCGAGCTCTGCACGTCTTCCATTCCACGTGAAGGACAGTCCTGGCAGTGAGCTGTGAGGCACAGCTCCCTTTTTTAACATTTTTTTTTTTTTTGGTAGGAGAAGTTCACTAAAATGCTGGTAGTAATTCATCTGAAGTCAAGCAAAAGGTTCCTAGCAGATTTTGAATCAGGCTGCTAAAGGTTTAACCACGTTCATTCCAAAGTATTTTTGCTTTAACTGTTATCTTGTATATACGTGTACATTTATACACTGTAAAATAACTGTAATTCGGGAAGCTAGTAAAAAAACATTGCCCCAGTGGGTGACAGAATGACGAGCTGGCTAAAACAAAGGATCTTATTGCTTTTGGGTGATTAGGTTTTGATCTAAGAGCCACCAGTTTCCTTCTGACACCAGAATATTCAGCCTTTGTACAATGTTATTAGGCCCTTTGGAATTTATTTTTATACTCTTCTCGCCTTGGAGGTTCTGTATTTAAGCCCCAGGGTTGTCTGACCCTGTCTCAGCTACGGTTGCAGTCCCAGCAGCAATAGGAACCCCTAACTCGCAGTACGCAAGTGAAAAGTGTCCTCAGTTTTTAACAGGTTCTTGTTCTCACATTCTCTCTTCTAAATTTAAATCCATCTCAGAATCTGGATAAATTACTCTGAAGGAAAGCATATTCGCGACTGTCCTGGTTTTGGCTGGGATAGAGTTAATTTTCTTCCCAGTAGCAGGCACGGTGCTGTGGTTTGGATTTAGTAGGAGAAGAATGCTGATCACACGCTGATGGTGTAGTTGTTGCTGAGCAGTGCTGACACCAGTCAAGGGCTTTTCAGCTTCCCATGCTCTGCCAGGGGCACAAGGAGCTGGGAGGGGGCACAGCCAGGAGAGTTGATCCCAACTGCCCCAAGGGCCATTCCATACCATACGGCGTCATGGGCAGTATGGAAACTGGGGGGGTTGGCCGGGGAGCAGCGATCGCTGCTGGGAACTGGCTGGGCATCGGTCGGCGGGTGGTGAGCAATTGCATTGGGCATCACTTGCTTTGGATATTGTTATTACTATTACCATAAATGAAATGGTGACCACCCGATCTCTATCCCTGGAGAGAATTGGAGGAGTAAGAGTGAGAAACACTCCTGGGTTGAGATAAGAACAGTTTAATAATTGAAATAAAATAAAGTAAAATAATAATAATAACACATAATAAATCCAAAACACAGCACTATGCCTGCTACTAGGAAGAAAATTAACTCTATCCCAGGCGAAACCAGGACAGCGACTTAGGGGTTGGGGCATTTTTGTCTTTTCAGCCAGGCTGCCCCTCCTGCCAGCTGCGACCCTGAAGCCCTCAGTGCTGCTGTGGTGGATTTGGGGTAGGCGCGTCCCCGTCCTCTCACAGATCGCTGATCCGCCGCCCTGAGTCGCGAGGTTGCACGGCAAACAGCGGACGGTCACGCCGTGAGAGCTGGCTTGTGCCAGGTTTCATCCCTCTGCTTTGTTCTACAGATGGATTA